GGTCAGAGGGGGCGAAATTGCCACCTTCTGGGACTCTTCTGAATCTTCCCAAGCCTCAAAAGAGTGCCAGAAGGTGGCGGTTTCGCCCCCTCTGGCCTGGCGGGGGGCAGGGTGAGCTTCCAAAGGGTCCTAGGGTGTGTTCCAGGACCCTTTAGAGACTCACCCTGCCCCCCTGGGGGGTCAGAGGGGGCCTTGGGTAGCTTCAGAAGAGTCCCAGAAAGTAGCAATTTCACCCCCTCTGACCCCGGGGGGGGCAGAGTGAGTATAGCAGTGGTCAGGGAACAGGGGTAAATTACCCCAAATGGGGTAAAAATGAAAATCCTGGGGGTAATGAGGATGAGCAGAGCCCCAATATTGATGCTCTCATATCCAAGATGAAGCAACATCTTTTCTCCAAAATCTGAAGTTTTCAATTAAGTTGAAGCTTTCAAAGTAATTTTGAATAGATTCAGTAAGATTTTGAATTTAAATAATGTATGATTTCCTTCCTTTCAAATCAAGGGGGTAATGTCGACGTATATAAAAAAATTTTGGGGGGGTAAAAGGTTAAAAAGTTCCCTGATCCCTGCTCTATAGTGTCCTAGGGTGTGTTCCATAAGACTCTCCATAACATAAGGCTCACCAATTTTTAGGAGAAGAAAACAGATTATTTTTTCCTGTTTTCTTCTCCTAAAAATTTGGTGCGTCTTATGGAGAGGTGAGTCTTATGGGGCGAAAAATACGGTATGTTAAATAAATAAATAAATAAACAAAAGTTCTCAAAATGCAAGCTTGCATTAGCTTCTACATTTTAGAATCTATAAAACACTACACACCTATGAGATGTCCTGTATTTTTCAATGACCCAGCGTGTTTTTTCCAGAATTAATTCCCACTGAGGTTCTTTCAACATCTGTTGGACTTCAAACTTGTATGGCAAACCTGTAAGCCATGAAAACATGCTCAGGTAGGAAATACATTGCTCTCGCCCTTATGTTTGTGGTGACAAAAACTCCAATATATCAAATTGCTTTGTACAAGGCCAAATGTTGCCTTGAGCTTTCAAAACCTTGGCTTTCTAGACCAGTTATATCCTGAAATAACTTCTCTGTCATAATCCAGTCAAAATCATACTATTCTTTAAAATGAAAACATTTGTTTGAATTTAACTAGCTTCTAGTTTATTCATGCTAACTAGGATATGAAAGATATAAAGAACTTGACAGATTCCATCTGGACATGTGATTCTCACACAATAGACCCATGTCACACAAAAACCATCTGCTAAAACCAATGCAATATACAGTGGTGCCCCGCTAGACGCTTACCCCACTAAACGACAAAATCGCTTGATGATGACTTTTTTGCAGTCACAGAACGATGTTTCCTATGGGGGATTTTCGCTTTACGTTGATTAGGTCCTTGCTTCGCAAGCCATTTGTTCACAAAATGATGATTTTTCCGGCTCCACAAAATGGCTTCCCTTCGCAAAATGGCTTTTTTCCGGACAGAAGCTTCGCAAAACAGCAATTTTAAACAGCTGATCGGCGGTTCCCTATGGGTGATCTTCGCTGAACGATGAGGCATTTCAATGTATTCCAATGGTTTTTTTCTGCATGACGATTTCGCTGTACAGCGATTTTAACGGAACGGATTATCATCGTCATGCAGGGCACCACTGTATATAGATTGGAGACTTGCATTTTAAAGAACTAATAAGCATACATTAGTCCCTTGGTACATCTGAAAAAGCTCAGTAAATTCTTGCCCAAAGATAAGACTTAGTAAACAATTAACTTATTCCACTTTCTGCTTCATACCTTTTTCTACCAAGAACATTTCTCATTGAAATCCTAGGCACACAAACTTGGAAGTGACTGATTTAAGTGAGGCTTACTCCCAAGTAAACATGCATAGAATTTGACTGAAAGAAGTGGATGAGTTCAAAAATCTAAGGTACAATGAAGATGAATAGCAGGTACACATGAAGAATAATTTTTATTTAAACTTACGGTAGGATCCATCAGAGCTTGTCTCATCGCTAATTACTAGACAAGTAATCTGGGAATACGGAAGAGAGTTATTTCGATTATATGGACTTATAATTACTCCAACAAACATCGATCCACCTCTGGAGAAATAATTCTGTAAAACATAAAAAGGCAATAATTTAAAAATGTATACATATTTCTGCCTGTAAAAAATGTAATATAAATTTGCTTTCTGATAAACTCCCCCCCCACACCACTTTAAATGTTAGCACAGGACTTTATAAGTACAGTTTTCAGTTTAAAATTAAAGGTCAGTAAACAAATGGGTGTGAAAGCCGGACAGTAAAGAAAGCTGAGAAGAAGAAAAATGATTTGCTTGGAATGTGGTGACAGAGGAGAGCTCCGAGAAATGGGTGTGAAAGCCGGACAGTAAAGAAAGCTGAGAAGAAGAAAAATGATTTGCTTGGAATGTGGTGACGGAGGAGAGCTCTGAGGATACCCTGGACTGCCAGAAAGGTGAACAAGGGAGTCCAAGATCAAATCAAGCCTGAATTATCTCAGGCAAAAATGCTAAAGCTGGGGCTGTCCTGGTTTGGGCACATAATGAGAACGCAAACTTCTCTAGAAAAGTTAATAATACTGGGAAAGGTTGAAGGCAGTACAGTGGACCTTGACTTACAGACGGCTTGACTTACAGACTTTTTGAGTTACAGACGTCTGTGGCCGCAAAATTTAGTTTTGACTTGCAGCCTGAGAATTGACTTACAGACCAGAAAAAAACCAAAATGGAACAAAAACGGCCTGTTATGGGATTAATCGGTTTTCAATGCACTGTAGGTCAATGGAGACTTGACCTACAGACTTTTTGACTTGAGAACCGCCTTCCAATACGGATTAAGTTCTCAAGTCAAGACCCCACTGTAGGAGAAGGGCAGTCTAGAAAAGTTAATAATATTGGGAAAGGTTGAAGGCAATAGGAGAAGGGCAAGCCCAAAATTAAGATGGACGGACTCCCTAAAAGAAGCCACAGACTTGAGTCTACAAGAGCCGATCAGGGCTGTTGAGGACAGAATATTTTGGAGATCATTTGCTCATATGATCACTAAGTTAGAAGGGACATGACGACATACAACAAGAACAAAAGAATTGGAGAGTGCTTTGAACAGCTATGACTTACATCCTTACTCATTTTTCTCAGTGGAAGGTGAGAATTAAACCTCTTGTATTCAAAAACAGAAATACATTACCTGGTATTTGGCCTGGGTATCAATATCTCGAAGCGAAGGGTTAGGATCAAAGGCAGGGTGAGAATGGTACCACCCAATAATGCTGCAGCCTCTAGCAGCAAGCGTCTCCGATGCCTGAGTTTGAGATACCGGGTCCATTTCACACTGCAACCCTGTACTGAGGCTATTGCATGGTTCTGCTGCAGAGACCTGCAACAAGTTGATAGGAAGGAATAAATGCTTGCAATTCAGTGATAATTTACTGCTAGATTCCTAATAACAATCACACTCCTATTCAAAGAAGCAAGAATTTCTTCACTCCTGTGCCTGTAGAAGGATTCCCAAGTGCTTGCCCTGGGTTCACTTATAGATGTTTATGTGATTGTCTGTATCCCATTTTTCTGCCACCGAGCTCATTTTCCCCAATGGGTCCCTCGCTCCCAATTTATCTCTACCATGATACCACGAAGCAGATAAAGTTGGAAGAGTGTGGCTAGCCCGGGATCACTGAGAGAAGGTCACAGCTGAAACGGGTCCCCCTAATAACCTGGGATTAACTCTATTGCCTATAGAAAATGAATTTGTTGGTTTCGTTTTTACAACGCCCATCTGGCTGAATGCCACTCTGGGAGGGTTACACCCAAGACACACCAACAGCATCATTAAAATACCCCTTCAACAGAACAGAAAACTAAAATGATAAAATACAAGATCTTGTCAAAATGCATTAAAATACATTTTCATAAATAAACATTTAAAATAGCGGAATTGGCCATATTAAGGGTAGATGAATTCAGCTGACTCTGTAGGTATCATACTCTGAAACGCCTGCCTGAATAACAAGGTTTTTGGTGACTTCTTAAAAACCACCAGTGAAAAGGCCAGATGAATCGCAGGAGGAAGTTCATTCCACAGCCAAGGAGCAACCATCAAAAAGGCCCCATTTTTCAATTTCTCCCTCTGGGCCTCTCTCAGGATTAGCAATCCCCAGATGGCCTGCTTGGGACATTTGCATAATCCGGGCAGACCTTATTTGGAAGTAGGTTTTTTGCAAGGCACTGAAGTCCCAAACTGTTTAGGGCTTTGTAGGTTAAAACTATCACATGGAAGCTGCACAGAAAATCAGACTGACCTTTTTAATATACTGACATGCACAACACTTACTTCAAGTATTCCATCTTTTTCAGAATATCTTCCACCCAGGAGGCCTATTACTTCTGCCATTGAAACGTGAGCATGCTAAAAGGGCAGGAAAAAAATAATAATGACTTATTCGGTGTTTTTCTTGGATTCTTGTAGCTAAGCAATGTCCTCTAAAACCACACCCAGAAAGGAGAAATTCTAGAAGAGTTATGAAGGTAGCCGAACTTAATCACAAATAATTACATACAACTGGAACATAATGACATATATTTGGAACATCAGAGTGAACTATGGTTTAGTTGGAAACTCCCCTTGAGTAACCTAATCCTTGTTAACATTTAAATAAATAAACAAAAATTTCCTTTTTGCCAACTATAAAGAAAATCAACCGTGGATACTGATCTTGCACATAGTGGGGTTCTACTGTATTGATATTCTACGACTTAAGCAAGAAAAATATAATAAATGAATTTTAAATTTCCTTTGAACACATTTGCACAAGCTGATGGGAATTAGAAACCATCAATGTTTGGAGAATGGCTTCATCCGCATGAATCAATAAAAACTTGAACAGCAGCCATATGAGCTATGATTTTATCCTGCCATGGATCAAGACTTCCATTTGACGATGACAAAAACTTGTCCATGAAAGCTCACATTAAAACATTGCAGTTAGTATTTTTGTTTTCTTTTTTTATTTTTATTTTGTTTCTGCCAGATATGCTAGGTAAAGGTAAAGGTTCCCCTTGACATTTAGTCCAGGCATGTCTGACTCTAGGGCGTGGTGCTCATCTCCTTCTCCAAGCTGTAGAGCCAACAAATGTCCGTACTGTATACAGTTTCCCTGGTCATGTGGCCAGCGCGACTAGACACGGTACACAGTGACCTTCCCACCGAGGTGGTACCTATTCATCGACTCGCATTCTTACATGCTTTCGAACTGCTAGGTTGGCAGGAGCTGGGACAAGCCACGGGAGCTCACTCTTACGATGGCTGGTCTTCTGACCTCCCAGCACAGAGGCTTCTGCACTTTAACCCGCAGCACCACCACGTCACAGGCCAATATAGCTACTAGAGAGAAGGGCTTTGTATTCATATACAAGTACAAGGCTCAGCAGCACAGGTGAATGGCCAAATTAACGCTCGCCTCCAGAATTCACCAGACTACTTACCACGTGGCATGTGGTGTGCATGGCCCGCTTTGTCTCCAGCTCCCCAATCGCCGCAGTAGCCCACCTGCTGCAGCCCCACCTCCCTGCTCACACTGCCACTCTGGTCAGGGGGTGGGATGATGAGTCTCTATGCTCAGCGATGGAATGGCTGGGCGAGCAGGAAGGCAGGGCTGCAGCAGCTGGGCTACTGCGGCAATTGGATGCTAAAGATGATGCCAGCCATATACGTTGCCTGCCACGGTGAGTGGTCTGGCAGGTTCTGGGGGTGGGTGTTAATATGAAGCCCCCATCTCTAATGGCTGCCTCTTCTCAACAAGTGTAATCAAGTGAGTTGCTAGAAAATGCAGCTCTTACCAGATCCATAATCAGAAGTGCCTCTGCAGCTACCCTTACTTGGAACGGCTCCTAGGAAGATACAAAGGATAAGGAAAGCTTGCTTAAAAGTCAACAAAGGTGTGCTCTTGTTTCTTCCTTAAATTCATTCATTCATTCATTCATTACATTTATGGCCCACCCATCTAGTCATATAGACTACTTTGGGTGGGTGACAACATATCATATAACAAATTACAGTTCAAAATCATAACAATACATTACTAAAAAACACAATGATCCAAGATGGGAGAAAACACAAAATCATACTTACTGGTTTTTCTTCTGTGAAGGAACAGCAAGGGATCAGCTGAAAGGGATCAAAGGAACTATAAAATGAAATAAAATTTCTCTGAAAATATAGAATTAACAGGAGGGAAAACTCGTGTACAATCCCAATATTAATTACTGCCTGTTTCCAAAATCTTAAGTTATTTATTCAAATCTGCACATTTATGTGGTATGGTGAAAAATGTGACACTTCTTTTTTGAATAGCAATCTGAATATAGTACAATGATAGTTGACACCAGTGGTTCTGAAACTGGAGTTCCCAGACATTTTTGGGATGCAACTCCAAGAAATCCTGGCCAGCACAGCAAGCATGCAGTGCATCGTGGCCTCTCCCAATTTGAAGAGACCCTTGTCCAGCAGGCCAAGGCCAAGAGGTAGTCCCAAAACCAGCCAAATCAGGGAGATGGACAGGGGACAGATTGTCTTTGTCTTCAGGGTGGAAGGGATGGTCACTCTCGAATTGTCCTTCTCAGCCACACTAGACGCTGTTCCAAGTCCTCCATACAGTCTTTCGAGACTGAAGGATGTCTACTATTACTACTACAGCAAATGCTGAAGGGTTTTGGAAGTTTCAGTCCAAAAACATTTGAGAAAAGATTGGGAACCACTGGTTTACAGTGCTCCTGATAACAGTCAAACCAGAAGAGGGAGTGTGTCAGATCTGAAAGCGTAAGGTTTGAACATCTTCCATAAGAAACCTATATGCTTTTATAGACCTCTGGAAGAATCAGAAACCTGGTTTCACCACAACGGATATCATTCCTGTTAGTGTTTCTTTTAGAGAGAACCAGGTATGTGCTCTGAACCTTGTACAAATTAACTCTCCCTTTCTGAATTCTTCAAGTTCCTTCCCCATACAAAGTAGACAAACTGAATGTCCAGAAAAATCTCTTATTTTCTGTTCTTTTACATAACAAGCATATGCCAGCATACGTAAGCGTAACACCATTCCTATCTACTGAGTATCTAGAAACATGAAACTATAAAAGCTTAATATAGTATTTTAAAAATGTACCTGTGAGTTAATAAAGTGATTAAAAATAAAGTAATAAGCACTTAACAATAGGATCACAAGAGAACAGTTACTAACATTAAAAAAATCTCTCAAGGCACATCTATTTTAGTATCCTAATTGCTAAAGCATAAGCAGATACTGTACATAGTCGCACATAGCAATACTTCTGGATTCTTACAAAAATCCTTTCTCCCTCAACAGAATTTCCTCTACAGCAGTGTTTCCCAAGGGGATTGCAAACTGAGTGTCTCCCCCCCTTTTTTGGGGGGGAGGAGAGAGGTCTCTGCTTTCTGAGAAGGGATAACTTTACCCCAAAAGGGGGTCACGACTAGGAAAAGGTTGGGAACCGCTGCAGTAAAGCCTCTACCGGGGGCTCTTCTCTTGTCCTTTGCTCCTTGCCAGAGCTGTCTTTTTTTAACTGACTTTTATACCGTTCAGTTTCTTCCACTGTCAACATGAGGTAGAGCAAACACTTAACCTACTAAACCCCAACCCTAGTTTTCTAAGGACATTTGTGTCCCTATCTTGATGTGGGGGTGCTCATCACTTTGTTCCATGTGCTCATAGTCTCAAGATTAGACTACTGTAATGCACTCTATGCGGGGCTGCCTTTGAGACTGACGCAGAAACTTCAGATAGTACAAAATGCGGCGGCCAGACTTCTTAACATATTTCCCCCATGCTGGCCGCCTTGCGTTGGCTGCCCATTCGTTTCCGCATTGATTTCAAAGTTCTCTCAATGACATATAAAGCCCTAAACGGTTTAGGACCTCGATATCTAGCAGAGCGCCTTCTCCCACCCAGCTCTGCCAGAGTCACTCGTTCCAGCCAGGCCAGGTGGCTGAGGGGCCTAACGCTGAGGGAGGTCCAGAAGGAAAGAACAAGGAGTAGGGCCTTCTCAACAGTGGCCTCTCACCTTCAGAATAACTTGCCAGTGGAGATCCTCCTGGCTCCCTTTCTGGGTGTTTTCAGGAATAAACTTAAAACATGGCTATTTGGGCAGGCTTTCCCTCCTGCCGTATTTTAACTGCCATATCCTAATTATACTTCGCCATCTTGGACTTATATGTTTTCGGTTTTATTGTTTTTAAATTTGTAAACTGCCCAGAATAGACACTTGGTCTAGATGGCAATCAATCAATCAATCAATCAATCAATCAATCAATCAATCAATCAATCAATCAGAAATCTGCATTGCATTTGCTCCCTCTCCAAACCCTTACAGAAGCAACTCATTCATTATATTTTGACTTGTTCCCGTGAATATCTGCTAGCACAGCAGGCTGCTATGAGAGCTTTTCTACATCTCTAAGCTGTTACTTTGCAGACTGCTTGTGAGGGCATCTAATGGTCCAGGACTCTGCCAGAGTGCCATCTAACAGGTGTTAGATGGCACTCTGGCAAAGTCCTGGGCCATTAGATGCCCTCTAAAGGAGTGCCAGAGTGCCATCTAATACGCTTGTACACTGTAACATTTCACATACTATATGGGCTAACCAACATACATTTGAATGGCTTTACACATGCAGTATTTGCAACCTTGACAAGACATTTAAAAAATTATACCTTTTTGTATGCCTTAGTCCTTTAGTCAGTTTTGGTAGTTTATGTTTCTCGTTTTCTCTCCTCTTCGCTATTTCTTCAGCAGAGAGGTGCTAAAAAAAACCCCACAAACATTAGATAATGAATGTACACCACACCGGTATCCTTCAAATAAGCTTAACCTCACTGAGCTGCCTGGATAATTCAGTGGTTTAGGGATCTAGCTGCAGATCCAGAGATTGGGGGTTCGATTCCCCCCCCCCGGTGCCTCCTGCAAGTAGAACCAGCCTGGGTGGCCTTGGGCCAGCTGCACAGCCCCAGAGCGCTCCTACAGGAAGGGAAGGGTAAAGCACTTCTGAGTATTCTCTACCTGGAAAACCCTGGAGAGGGTCGCCATAAGTCAGAATTGACTTGATAATTATGATAACCTCAGCACACGCAAGGCTCTGACTCCAATGCATTGATCTGTGCTAGCATGTTATTACTGTCAAGTTAGACCTATGGCAGTCATTAACAACCTCCAATTCATTACTGAAACAGCGACGTCTACGTTGGCTTGGGCACGTCGTGAGAATGGCTGATGGTCGGATTCCAAAGGACCTCCTGTATGGAGAATTAGTGCAGGGAAATCGCCCCAGAGGGAGACCACAGCTGCGATACAAGGACGTCTGCAAGCGAGATCTTAAGGCCTTAGGAATAGACCTCAACAGATGGGAAACCCTGACATCTGAGCGTTCAGCCTGGAGGCAGGCACTGCATCGCGGGCTCTCCCAATTTGAAGCGACCCTTGCCCAGCAGGCCGAGGCAAAGAGGAACTCACTAAAGCAGCAAAACCAGGGAGCTGGACAGGGGAGGCCTTGGGCCAGCTGCACAGCCCCAGAGCGCTCCTACAGGAAGGGAAGGGTAAAGCACTTCTGAGTATTCTCTACCTGGAAAACACTGGAGAGGGTCACCATAAGTCAGAATTGACTTGATAATTATGATAACCTCAGCACATGCAAGGCTCTGACTCCAATGCATTGATCTGTGCTAGCATGTGTTATTACTGTCAAGTTAGACCTATGGCAGATACACTTTAAACAACAGGAGTACACAAAGCCCCACCAGTGAACACAACTAAGAACAACTTGCTTGCTTTGTAGGAAGCTGTGAGACCTAGAAAACTACAGTTCTAAATGGCAAGGAAAACCTCCACCATAGAGAGAAGATTCTTCTTGTTCATGTATTCTGTACAGGGGTTGTTGGAACACATTTTCCCATCTCCTTAATTGTGGATATCCTTTGCTTTGAGACTCAGAGCACTTGAGCTCTTATAAGTCAGGGCTGGGAAGCTACAGAGCACTCAACAGAAGCCCTTAAGAGCCCTGGGAGGGAGGGAAGACAATCTTTTTTGTTTTTCTAATAATATATCTATGGTCTTGTCACACTTGAACAACACTACAGGTTTCTGCTGGGATTCCCCCTTTAGGAAGCTGAGATATTTTCCTTGATTGCATCTACAACGGTAAGAAGCTATCTTGGTGACACCATGACTGTGGAATACTCAACCGATGGAGACTGCCTCCATGCTCAACTTGATATCCTTTGAAAAGACTTTTTTGCTCACTCCCAACATTTTTGTAGCATTCACTCACATTTGTAAAAACTTTGGAAGGGCAACCATTTGATAACATGTTACTAATGAATTTTAAGTAAATGATGCTCATTTATCCTTAAAATCATTAACAGCATGCTAGCATGCACATAGCAAAACACAGATATCCTTAGCTGAAAATTTAATATGCCATGAGGAGCACTGTTATTTCAAAACTGTGTTCTTATATTTGATCTGGTCTCTTTTACTGCCATTGCAAGTCACCCTGGGAGCTTATTCGGGGGGGCCAATACTACAAATAAACTATTAAATTGTAGGTCTTGTCATTCTCTCGTAGGATGACCCAATGTTACCTCAAACGTCTGTCCTTCCAGATCTCTAGCGTCACACCAGTTTCCCCATGGGTCCCTGACTCGTCGTCGTCTTGTGCGCTGTACCAAAGAAAAAACAGAGATGTTTGTGTGTCGGAGGGCCTAAAGCCCTCTTTGATGTGGAGGCACAGTGAAGCACTCCATGCTGGACCGTCGCACACTTCACAAGCTGGTGAATACAGACGACTGGTACTGACCTGACTCACTGTAGGTGATCACGGAACAAAGGAAGGCTAATTGCCTTAGAAGAAAGGAGTCAGCAACGGATGTCCGAGCCAGCTGAGCCTACAGCCTACACCCTGAGAGCTCTTTTATTTACTTAGCATGATTACATAGTATGTTGTTAGAATTCAGATAGGATGTTGTTGTTCAGTCGTTAAGTCATGTCCAACTCTTCGTGACCCCATGGACCAGAGCACACCAGGCCCTCCTATCTTCCACGGCCTCCCAGAGTTGGGTAAAATTCATGTTGGTCGCTTCGATGACACTGTCCAGCCATCTCGTCCTCTGTCATCCCCTTCTCCTCTAGCCTTCACACTTTCCCAACAGCAGGGTCTCTTCCAGGGAGTCTTCTCTTCTCATGAGATGGTCAAAGTACTGAAGTCTCAGCTTCAGGATCTGTCCTTCCAGTGAGCACTCGGAGATGAGCCCCTCAGATAGGATACTAGTTACTTAATCGCAACTAGGATTAGCTGAAATAACTCTCTGATATTATGCTCTACTTCTAAGCCAAAGGACAGAAGAAGGGGTTACCCAGCCTGCTGGCAGGTGCCACTTCCTGCCAGGAGTGTCTGCACGTCACTGGAACAAATGCAGCTACAACCTTTAAGCAGAGGTTCCCCACAACTCACATTTGGAAAATAGGTCAAAATGATCCACCAGTCACCTGAGCCCATAAGAAACAAACTTACACCTTACACCTTCCTATTGCTATCCACCAAAAGAACAGGAAGGAGATGCAGGTGGGTCATAGGAGCTACACCTACTTACAAAATTCCCAGTAAGCCAGGTACATAGGCGCACGCGCAGAACTCCGCTTCCCTCTGCACAGCAATGGCATCAGGTGCTGGTTGCCACAGAACTGAGCGGATGCCGGGGAAAGAGTTGTGCGCACGCACAGTGGTGCTCAAGTGCAAGAGAGGTGGAGACCCGCCCAGCAGGGCTGAAAATTAAAGAGTACGTTGCTGACTTGCCTTCATGTTTTACTGTTATTATGGTTATTTTTATTGCTGTAACCTGCCCAGAGTAGCAATATAGAAGCCCAATACATAAATAAGTAAATTAAACAAATTAAGATACTATCCAGAGCTTAAAAACTTACTTTATTAATTTCACGAAGATTGATGGAAAGTTTGTAAGAAGATGTACATACTCCAGTGTGCTGCCCCATCAATAGCATGGGAACGTTAAAATGATACACCATAGGAAAGTGATCCAAAGCCAGAGTATGACAAATGTGAATTACTATACATACGTGAAGGTACGTATATTACTTGCGATCTTACCATAGACTGCAGCCGTTGCACCAGTTGATATGTATCTATAGCATCCCTGCCTTCTCTTGTTCTTATTTTGTCAGCAGGCTGTGGTCTATTATACACGGCTTGTTCTGTAAAAGTGACGAGAAGTGATAACTTGGTGTAAGTCTCACAAGGATATACAAGAAGCCAGCTACCAGTGGATCTCATCAATTGCAACTTTGCTCTGGCATTCATCTGAATTCCACCAGAATTTAAAGGGAATCACTGGTATGTGTTAAAAATACACAATATAAAGGTTATCATCTCAGTATGCAGATCAAACACGAAGTGATGAGACTTTTCATAGCCTTCCAAAACCAATCAGTCTTGGACAAAGACTAGCAGAAGAGCCAGAAAGACAACATTATCAGAGGCAGGGGGATACAGACTGGCAAAAACTGCTCACACGACCCAAAGCAAAAATTTTATGGTGGAGCAGCATCGAGACCATCCAGACCAATTTCAGCAGCTGCAAATTTCCATTCAGCTCATGCATAAAGCTTTCTTCTACCCATGTTGACGTTTTTGCGATCGCTTTTGCGATCACAAAACGATGTTTTAAATGGGTTTTTTTGCTGCACGATGATCAGTTTCCTGCTTGGGGAACCGATTTTTGCTTTACGACGATCAGCAAACAGCTGATTGTCGGGTTTCAAAATGGCCGCCGACTGAAGAAAATGGCCCCCGCTGTTTTCTAGGACAGATTCCTCGCTTTACAGGCACCAAAAATGGCCGCCGTATGGAGGATCTTTGCTGGACGGGCAGGTATTCAGCCCATTGGAATGCATTGAACAGTTTTCAATGCGTTTCAATGGTTTTTTTTTATTTCGTTTGACATTTTCGCTCTACAGAAATTTCGCTGGAACAAATTAACGTCGTCAAGCGAGGCACCACTGTATTCATGTAAATATTAGATTTCTTAAAAAATCACTCTGAACTTGTCTATACAAGACACTTTCTGTCAAACGCACTTAATGGTTCAGTGTGGGTTCTGCTCCCAGGTTGTAATGCAATAATGGTATTTTCAGCAAAGAAAATGGCGTATGAATATATCAATAAACAGTATTTCTGTATTTAAGAACTCAGTGCAAACTTTGGGAACTTCTATGAAAAGCAGGGTACAAACGTAAAACAAATAGACTGGAGTTTTCATACCACAGCCAAAGTTAATTGCTCCTATTAATTCCAAGTATGTGTGTATACGTCCTATGCAGTTCACATCACCGCAGTTCTTCAGTCCTGGGCGCACTGATGTCTTGTTCAAGTATTTTGGCTTAACTCTTTCCCTGTAATAAAATGTAACCACAAACAAAAGAGAAAATAGAGGATTCCAATATTTTTATTTATTTAAAATATTTCTACCCCA